TCCTCCTCCAGGCCATCCCCCCGCGCACCGCCCCCCCAGGCCATTGCCATGAGCCACACTCCTGGGGCCCCTGTAACTCCCCTCATGCCCGCACAGTGTGCACACGCGCCGGCCACGGTGCAGCGCGCGCGGAGCCTCCCAGCGAAGGGGCACCGGGGCCGAGCGGGGGCGGCTCTAACGGGCCAACGAACGGCGTGACCCGCCTGAGGGGAGCGGCCGGGCCCCTCACCTTCCTCTCGCGGCTCTTGCGCTCCTCTCGGCGCCTCTCGAACTCCTCGAAGGAGATTTTCCCCTCCAGGTAATCGATCAGCTCGGGGCTGAAGCCCGACATCGCACTTGCCGCTGCGCCGCGAACCCGGGGACGGGGGGGAGGTTGTTTCGCGCACGGACTCGGCGTCCCTTGTTAATCGGGTCCGACCGCAGCTCGCTGCCGCCGCGCAACAGTTCCGGGGTAGCGCCAGCTGGCTGAGCTCTGAGCACGCGCGGTACGGATGCGAAGCCGCTGGTCTCCTGGGCACAGAGGGAGGGGGGCAGCAGGGAGCCGCGGAGGCTCCGGGGCGATGGTAGAAGGGGGTTGGGCGGGTGGGGACACAAGTGGCGGAGGGTGGGGCCGGGGTCAGGGTCTGGGGCCGGGGCCGCTCTGTCCTGCCCCCCCTCCCCACGGGGTAAGTAGTGATGCTAAGCAGCCTGATCCCACTTGGCCCTGGGTGCGACCCCGAGCTCGTGGCTCGGTGGGGCTGGAGAGCGTCTCGCTCCCCCAGAGAAGGTGATTCAATAAAAGATACTTTACCTGCCTCATCTTGTCTCTCTAATATTCTAGGACTGATAGGGTGACCAGACGTCCCGATAAAAGCGGGACCGTCCCGATATTTAGGTGTTTGTCCCACGTCCCGACCACTCTTTGGTTGGGACGCAATTGGTCCCGATATTTTGCTCCGCCGGCAGCACTCAGCTGTTGTTTTTTTTTGCCCCGCCGGTGGACCTCCCCCTCCCCCATGTGTCCCGATATTTTCTTCCTCTCATCTGGTCACCCTAGGGCCTGACAGAGCTACACCAACACTGCATACATTAGGCAGAGCTGTCAGGGTGGGCCGGTAAGTGTACTGACTGCTATCCATCACCTCCCAACGGATCTGAAATTAAGCATTTCCTATACTGAGTTTCCCCAACATCTTTCCTAAACACTAAAATTACCCCGGCTACACTGCTGTTTTCGTAATAAACCCCTATTTACAGCCCAGTGTTCTGTATGGGCCCGATCCAAAGTCTATTTCCATGGACGTCTTTCCTTTCACTTCAGTGGTTTTTGCATCAAGGAGGTACGTATTAGAATAATAGAATATCATAGAATATCAGGGTTGGAAGGGACCTCAGGAGGTCATCTAGTCCAAACCCCTGCTCAAAGCAGGGCCAATTCCCAACTAAATCATCCCAGCCAGGGCTTTGTCAAGCCTGACCTTAAAAACCTCCAAGGAAGGTATTGATAGCTGAAAGGGCATCTCCCATTCCTTGTACTGTTTTAAGTGGTTGAAAGATCACAGTAGACAGGAGTTACTGAATCCTGACCAGATAAAGGAAGTGAAGGACTACGACTAGAACATAAACTACAGCAATAGGTGTATTAGATAGATCAAATAAATGGATGCAGCTATCCAGGAAGAACAGAAGTCTATCTCCCTAATTTATGAAGATACCATTGGATGTAAACATGTATGGAAATCTATATTGGGAAAGCACCCTAGATTTGCTCAGGATTAAGTCAGATTCTTGTGCAGCACAGTTCAAAGTGCGTATGAATCATAGAATTATAGGACTGAAAGAGACCAGTGCCCTGCACTCATAGCAGGACTAAGTATTATGAAATGCTACAAAGTCATAATAAGAGCAGTTTACACCCACGTTGCCCTCACTTTGTACTAGTGAAAATGAAAGGCAGTGTTGGATGAGCCAACTGATACAGGAAATACACAAAGGTTAGATGCATATTTAATAACTCCAGTTTTACTGATTACATTGATTCTTTGGAGAAAAGACGTCTGTAGTTTTTCTTTTCTTTTCATCAAGTGGAAACAGAGTAGCAGAACCATTTCTATGACTCATCTGGAATAGGGCAGTGATTATGTTTCTAGAGCAATTATTGTATTATAAAACAGATTAAATCACGTACAGATATGTATTCTAGCTTCTGAGTTTGCATTAACTTACATCGACTTTTACAGGCTTTTCTAAATATGCTAGTCAGTCTCCTGTTCCTTAAAAAAAAAAAAGTCTCCATTTGGTGGGCTGGATGGGTCCAGACTACATACCTGGTTTGTAAAATAAAATCCTTTCAACTACTAACAGCTAAAGGAGTTTAGTTTAGATGATAGATGCCTCTGTTTTGAAGCCAGTGGCCCGCCTTCTTGTCCCGGTTCTACAAGTGCGCACGTATAGCTGGTGACCACGTCAGTACTGAAACAACAATGGAGCTAGTACCTCCATATTTCATACCTATTATTAAACAAGGGATTAGGCTCTGATTCTGCAAAGACTCATCCATGTGCTCAAGTTGGGTGAAATCCTGATCCTAGTGAAGTCAATGGGACTTTTGCCATCGACTTTAATTGGGCCAGGATTTCATCCTTTAACTTCAGTCAGTAGGACTACTCACATGTGGAGCATTAAGCATGTGTGTAAAAGTCTTCTCAGGATCAGTGCTGTACCTTCCAAATGAGAAGTACCTGTGGTAATCTGAATTCAGGATTTCCTGATGCTATTTTAGAATATGGTACTGGAAATCTGTAATGGTTCAGCTACATAAGGAATGGTCAGAGCAGAAATAGTAAGATGGGCTCTTATGAATAATTTATTAGTTTAATTACTAAATTGTGGGAATCATAGGGATTCTTTACTATGAGATTCCTATCAAAACATAAAAGCCAAAACATTTAAGTACTCTGATGGCTATTGTGTATCTGAATGAGACCTTGAATATGACATTAATAATGTACGTCTTAGGACTTCACAGGGTTTTTCTTATTTCCACATTTATGGAGGCTCTTTTTGTATTATCTTCTGCCTTTTTCAGTAGGATGATCTTTGGGATCTCTCTCAGATGTATACATCTGATGAGTCTATCTTTCTTTCATGAAGATTTAAAAAGATTATTATTTGTATTGTGGTAGCACCGAGGAGCACCGGTCAGCGATGAGGGCCCTTTGTGCTAGGTACTGTACAAACAGAGAACAAAGAGATGGGTTTCTGTAATGATTGAAGTGGTGTTTTTTTTTAAATTCCACACATCTCCAAACCAAATACAAAGCACTGTAATGAAGACTCAGTAAAATTCCATTCAAGAAAACAGTTATCTAAAACCTAGATGTAATCAATTTAAAAGGTAACATTTATTTACATTGCTTGACAAAGACAATTAGGAATAGTGAGACATACTACATCAGATTGAACTTTTCCTTCATTTACATTTCAACAAGTAAAATCTTGTCAGACCAATCTTCACAACCATCCATACCTCACCACCTGAAAAGTGAGCAAATATGGCAAATTGCAGCCAGATGTCAGATTTGTATATGTAAAGACTCGGATGCTGAAGAAAATGTTAAATTGTCAGATAATAGAAACCCCAAAGCAGTAACATTTTGCCATGTATGCTTCCAATTCACATGAAGTCCAAAAGTAACCACCTGAAAGGAAAAATAAATAAATAATAAAATAAGGATGGTAAGTAGGAGCATTTAAAAGCACATGGGGTCGGATCCAAAGCCAAAGGACCCTAACTGAAACACTCCCACTGACTTAGATGGGCTCATAAATCCCAAATTATTAGCATGAGCATTGTTAAACAGTAAATTATCTTTTCTGACTGGGAGTAATCTCTGTAAGGGTCAGGGTGAAGAACAGATTCCTCAAGGCCATGTAGTGTCAGTGGAGCTAATGTGGCTGCTTGTTTCTGGCCACTCACCTTTCATAGGATTAGCCACTGGCTGCATACATACAAATACACAATTTCCATTCTTGCCCACCTCCCTGCATGATTATGGCACGGAGACCTTTGTGGAATACAGCTCTGTGGTGCCTGAGGACTGGATTTCAAATCCTGCCCCCACCTAGAGTGGAAATGTACAGTTCTGCTGTGATTAGCACATTATGTGGCTGCAAGACTGATAGGGTGGAGAGATTAGGAAGTTGTAATTAACTGAACACAAACCCTGGTTAGAATTAATTTTTTTTTTAAAATGCCCAGTCTTTCAGCCCCTAAATCTTCATCAAGTTAACAACAGAATCTCCACATATTTTGGGGGCCCAGATCTGATCTTATGTGATGCAATATTTAGACAACAGAGTAAATCAAGGATAGGGGAGCACAGTTAATTCTGTGTTTCTAGGTCTTCATCAGTTTGTGTCAAACATCAGTGTTGTTTTATGTTCCTTAGGCCCCAGACCTTGAGTTATCCTCTGTGTGGCTGATGTAGCAAAACACAAGTGTCCAGTAATTTAGTAATTTCACAGTAAATATAAACTATTTTGTAAGAACACTCAAAGCAAATATTTTCATTTATGAACAGCCAGAAATTTATGTTCAGAAACCATCTCTTACCCACTATTTATTACTAAAAACAACCCAAAGAGTCATTTAAAATCACATTTGAATTTGTTTAAGTTTAGAATTTTTATAGCTTCACAAATTTTAAAGCCAGAAGGGACCACTGTGATTATTTAGTCTGTCTTCCTGCGTGACACAAGCCATAGATTTTTACTCCATAATTCCTTCACCAAACTAATACATTCTGATTGAGGTAGAGCACATCTTTTAAAACCACTTTTTAATCCATTTTACATTGTGTGGTGCTGATTTTTTTTTCCAAATTAAACCCATCGAAAGGTGATTTAAAATGAAAATATTAATACAATTGTCACTATAATATAATGAATGGTGGTGGTGTGCTACATAGTTCAGACAGAGCCATGGACTAGTGAGCTAAGCACAGGACTGGCAGCCAGGAACTCCTGAGTTTTAACCTTGACTGCCACTGACTCCTTGTAGGTCCTTGGGCAGGATCCAAATCCTATTGAAGTTCTTACTGTTTGTAGAATGGGGACAATAATACTTAGCTACCCTCATCATGTTGTCATAAAGAGGATTATTATTTATATAGTATACAAAATAAAAATAAAATAAATATCCAAGTTCCCTGCAGTACATTTGGTCATGGATATACTAATAGTGCAAGCTTGATTCATATTATAGTATAGACATATGAATCAGTTTGCACACTATTTTATCCAACCTTCACTTTTAATTGAAGAAATAAAAACATCACATTTACAGAGATTTAATAGGCCGATTACTCTTTGTTACTGTAACGTTTTCTTTTTTGAGTCTGTTTTTTCCTTGATGTGCACATATCATGGGAGGCTATCAGCCTCCATTAGAAAAAATTAGATTGTACTAGGTTTTACTTGATCTCTTGAAATCTTTCCCTATTTAATCCAGCAAATGTCAAGTATGTGTCTCTGGAAATAAATTAGAGACATAAGCAGTGCATAAACTTCTGACTTCAGAATACTTCTTACCATGCATATACTCCTGTTATTCCAGAAAGAAATTAACTCCCCAGAAATTTCTCCTTAAATAAATTTCAATCACCTTTGAGTGAGAGTTAAAATACCACACATTTCTGATGTGTTATCAAGAGCAAGTTATTTTTTATTCTTCATATAGAAGGGAAAATTACCAGAATCCAAATCTGTAACTCAACCACATGTAACTGTCAGCACAGAGGAAAAACAATCACTTTTACCTTGGTCAGCAGCTTCTTTCAGCCTTTGAAGTAGTTCTGAAATAATTTTTTCTTTTCTTCATAATCTGCAAATGCAGAAGCAGTAGGATCCGAGTAGATAGCTACAGGCCTGGGTCTGTCATTATTCATGGAGAAAGTATCTAGGAACTTTCTCAGATCAAGACCTCTTCCCGAAAAATAAGCCTGGAGTGTTCTGAAAAACTGAAGACAGTTTACATTTAAAAAATGTAAAATGAATAATCATATCCATTAAAACAAAGTAAATATACTTGTGAAAGGAACTGGATGGGAATGAAGTCCTCTATTTTATCCACAAACATGTACAGCACAGGCAATGGCAGAGCAAGCTGCTCCACTCTGCTTTCACAACGTGTTTCAAGTGTGAACTGGAATGATTACACCTAGCAGTGATTTAGTCATATTCATTTGCTAAGTACAGTCAGTCATTAGCCCCTATGATGGGACTGGCCACACAGACCCAGCAATTGTTGCCAGATTCTGACACTGAAGTTAATGGGATTGCATGTGGAGTAAGGTACTTCTCATCGTGAGGAAGGGTGTCAGAATCTGGCCTTGTGATATGGACACCTGTCCAAAGACCACCAACCCATTAATCAGCGAGGTCTCAGCTGAGCTGTACTGATTCAAACTGGTAACCTAGAGGAGAAAACCTCTCCCAACTGCCAGTCCCCACAATGTGTATACTTCTGACACTGAGAATATTAGTAAAAAATATTTGTTAGCTTTGGTTTTCCAAATAAGAGGTGGCATAAATCAGGAAGATTGAATCAGACTGCTTCAAAGGTCTTAAATTATTTCTTCAGATCCCTAGGCTTTAAGGATTGATTAATGGGGTAGATACCCAACTTTTTAATGCATGCCTTTTACACCTTGAACACACCTTAACTGTGAAGCTTATTAAACAGCCCACAATATCTGAAAGTCCCTCAAATTGACATGTGTTCTAAACTATACAAGAGTATAGTTTATGTAAAGCCTTTAAGATCTTCACAAGAAATGTGATCAGAGTATTATGCTGCCCAATTTGCTAACATTTTCTTTAGAAAAGGCACACAGTGAAACCTCCATTAAGAGCAGCCTCTAGCAACAGCCACAGTACCCTCAGGTTTTCCAGTACAATTTTATTTATCCTAAAAGTCACCTGCAACTGATTTGAGCTGATCCTTTGGCTGGATAGTCTTTGTTATTGTTCAAAAATATTAGTTTTTAGTTAGTATTTTTTAAATGTTATATTTGGTCACCTTCCAAACAAGTACAAACATTGCTGCTAACCACTGACATGTTTCTCACAACTTTTGCATAAGACCTTATAAATAATCCTTTGTAATTGAATATTCTGTTATTGTTAATTGGCTGTCAGATCTTAAACCATTCAAGGTGCTGTGTCAGATATGAATATATTTGTGTTTTCAAACCATGGTTTACCATTTGACTTAAACAATATTGTCTATACAGTCAACAAGAACAGGACTAGGAGAACACACAGAGCACCCCTATTCTGTTGGATAAAATGAGTTGTATTTTCACAGATCAAAATACATCTCTTTTTAAATTAATGTGTATTGTACATAGGTATGAGGAAGATCCATGTGCAATATATTAAATTGAAAGTGTTTCTTCAAGTTAGATTAAAGCATGTGCAGATGGCTGCTGACACTCACCATACAAAGCACATCAGCGTTACTAACACTAGCTAAGAGGGTCCCTTTTCACTTTGAAGTTTTTAACTACAAAAGGTAAGAAATTCTGATAATGAGACACCTAAATATGAGAAACACACACAAAGTTTGGGCTTCATTACAATGTTTCCTGCAGGGTTTCCTTACCAGATCTCGGTTTCTGGGATTGTCCAGAGGTTTCCATTTTTCTTCTGGCCTCAGCGGAGCCCCCTTTGCCAACCCCCTCAGAATAAGCATAGTACCCAGAACCAGAAGTGCCACTTTCCACATGCTGGAGAGATGAGCAGGCTGCACATGAGAGGGGGAAAGAACAAGACTGTATGAGTTCTATAAAACATGCACCACTGACATATGAAAGCAAACATTTCATATAATTAATGCGGATAAATGGTTTAAAACAATCAATCAGTCCATGACAAGGTGGATCTACCTTCTGGAGAAAATATATATATGTGTGTGTGTGTGTTCTCTCCCCCTCCCCTGCCTTTAGTGTATCTTGAGGAACAGATTAGTCCTAAAGAAATGCTTCCCATTCCATTGCTACCTCTGAGACACTGCATCCCCTCTCTATTTCCATCATATAATAGTTCTAAAATAGTTAATCAATTAGTTACAGCAGCAGATCTTTGTGTGCCCTGAGGAAAATATAGCAATATAATTAAAAATCCAGATAGTCCAATTTTAAAACTGCTTGAGAAAAACTAAATGTAGTAAATATATGAAATAATAAATTAATAATAAATATAGAACATTTTACAACTTGATGCAACACTTACTCTCACTCTCTCCTTAAATAAAGCTTACCTGTAAGTTTGGCTCTGGCTTGCCCCTTCCTGGTTAGCCTGTCTGTATCTGCAAAACAGACTGATCTCTCCACTTATATTGCTAGTGGACTGGGTGTGGGTGGGTGCCAATGACGTTAGTAGTATTGCAGTAATGATTCCATTTCCATCCATGACAAAGACCCTTGAGAATCTCATCCTCGATACTCTTAAGGCCTGTTGCTACTAAATCTTGCAGCACACACTGCCCTCCCTCCTCATCCAGCCACATCACTGAAAATTTGTGGATGGCAAAATAAAGAAATTTCCTGCAGGGATGGTGGAAGCTTAATAAAATGTTACTTTTAAATCAATTTTATACATTTGTTTTTCAGATAATAATATCTAGCAGAAGGATTTCCAAGATAAGCTAGATATAGAGCAATTTCCTGGTGCTGGAAGACAGCAAGGTGAGGTCTATTTCAAGATGCAAAATCTTAGCACCTTAATGAAAGTATTGACCTGATATCCTGATGTTATCTGCATTCATTTATAGATTGCATATGGGGATACTAGAGTGGATGATTCCAAGGTATTACAGACAAAGATTCTAAAAAGGACTACACTGTTTAACTTGTTCTTATTCAAAAATATCAGTTCAAAACTGCTATGACATTTGATTTTATTTCTCCTCATATATTTTTCTCCTGACAGTTTAAAGAGTATTTTAGTTACAGCAGTTGCACCAAACGGTCACTTTTCAAGTTGGGAATCTTGGTCATTCTTTTAGCACCAGTCCATTATTATTAATAATAAATATTTGTATAGAATGCCATACCAGTAGGTGTGTACTTTATTTATTGAGATTTAAACTTTTTAATGACACTGATCTATGGCTCTAGGAACCCTGACATCACTAACACAAATAAAATTCCAGTTGCATCATTTTGCTATCTATAGTAATGTGTGTACCTAGCACATAGATTATCTTATAAGGTTACACTAGGAGTTATTGTAGTATTTAGACTAGATTGTTTTAACTGCTTTGTTTTTGTTATCTGTGGGCAGCTTGGAGACATTGAGTTCTTAAGTACATGCATTCTGGCTTTCAGATCAGCACCAGGGACAGCAACAACAGGAGAAACAGAATGAAGGGGGAAAGGCTGAGTAAACTTAACGGAGTTTCAGCTATTTTAAATTAACCAGTCTGACAGAATAAGCTAGTCACAGCACACATAAACACACCCCACACACCTTATATGTCTGTCAAGCAGATGATTCTCATATAAGGCAGGTGAAAGTTGGGAAGGACCTCAGTGTCCCCTAGTGGGGAAAACTTCTGGTTTCATTGCAGTTCCAGGGCATTCACCAAGTTTCACTCCAGCAATTCTGTTTGTAGACACAGAAGAGGCTGTGTTTTTCCTGGAGGTTTCTGCAGATTTTAATGAGACCAGAAAGAGAACATAAGCAGACCCAATAATTAACTCATCTTTGTCTTTGCTATTTACTTTCCCCCCATAGAAACAGTTATTAAAAAGGTTAACTGGCCCCCTTGCATGAAAAAACAAACTGTTGCTCCTCAATTAAGAGATCTCAGTCCTGGAACTCCAGTGATCTGGATTGAATGTCTGGCTCTGCCATTGGCTTCCTATGTGATCATGGGCAAGTCACTTAATCTTTGTGCCGCACTTCCCTGTCAGTAACCTGGGGATTGTCTTATCTATTTAGATTGTAGGGGCTTCAGGCAGGGATTGGCTTTTGCTAAGCATCTGTACCACACCTAGCACAAGGCCCTCCCCTCTGTTGAGGCCTCTATGCACTACTGTAATACAAATAATAATATTTTAAAAATATAAACAAGTGAGAAAAATAATTAGAAGTAACATGGAAAAATAAAACATTTCTGATATGTCCTGAAAAAGTATATACTTAGTTCATCTCATTTTTTTTTAGGACCTGCTGCTGTAGAAGCCATTATTGCTTTTCTGTCTGCATTCACTCAAAAAACCCCACAAATGAACAGACAAAAACATATACTATCTAGATAGTTCTTCAGAATAGAAGCAATTTCAGGTGTTTTATTTTATTATCTTATAATGTGGGCATCTTATCTACATGATATACTGGCTGCAGACTAAATTGAATATGACTAATACAATAATTGAATGATGTGTTGAAAAAAATCTTTTTAATTTCTATGTCCATTATAAACATCTGAAATTGTCCATTACTACTTCTGTATTAATCAACTCCTGTACTGTAATTTAGCTTTCTAACCTAATATCTCACATTTGTACTCCTACCACTCCCTGATTGTGGCTGATCCTACTGTTGTATAAGACAATGCAAATTTCTCTGACTTTAATGGCAACAGGAGCGAGTCCAAAGGTATCACTTGTCTCAGACTTGAAGAGATATCTAGTGGTTTGTTTTGGCAATGAGGGGAGTGGAAGGAGATGCTGTTACATATTTTATGTTGGCCTGTGAACTAAAATCATTTCATTTCAAGAACAAGAATATAATCAGAGTCAAAACTATCCCATAAAAACTCTCAGTACCTGGACCAGGAGAAAATAGCTGCTTCTATAGTCAGCTAAAGCAAAGGCTCATTGGGTCTTAGCCCTGGTCTACACTACGAGTTTAGGTCGAATTTAGCAGCATTAGATCAATTTAACCCTGCACCCGTCCACATGACAAAGCCATTTTTGTCGACTTAAAGGGCTCTTAAAATCGATTTATGTACTCCTCCCCGACGAGGGGATTAGCGCTGAAATCGACCTTGCTGGGTTGAATTTGGGGTAGTGTGGATGCAATTCTAAGGTATTGCCCTCCGGGAGCTATCCCAGAGTGCTCTACTCTGTGCTGGAGTATTGTGTCCAGTTCTGGGTGCCACATTTCAGGAAAGATGTGCACAAATTGTATGAAGTCCATAGGAGAGCAACAAAAATGCTTAAAGGTCTAGAAATCATGATCTATGAGGAAAGAGTTAGAAAATTGGGTTTGTTTAGTCTGGAGAAGACTGAGGGGAGACCTAACAGTTTTCAACTATATAAAAGATTGTTACAAGGAGGAGGGAGAACAATTGTTCTCTTTAACCTCTGAGGATAGGAAAAGAAACAAGGGGCTTAAATTGCAGCAAGGAAGGTTTAGGTTGGACATTAGGAAAAACTTCCTGTCTGGTTAGTTAAGCACTGGAACAAATTGCCTAGGGAGATTGTGGAATCTCCATCATTGGAGGTTTTTAAGAACAGGTTAGACAAACACCTGTCAGAAATGGTTTATTACTTAGGCCTGGTCCACACTAACCCCCCACTTTGAACTAAGATACACAACTTCAGCTACGTTAATAACGTAGCTGAAGTCGAAGTACCTTAGTTCGAACTTACCGCGGGTCCAGACGCGGCAGGCAGGCTCCCCCGTCGACTCCGCATACTCCTCTCGCGGAGCAGGAGTACCGGCGTCGACGGCAAGCACTTCCGGGATCGATTTATCGCGTCTAGACAAGATGCGATAAATCGATCCCAGAAGATCGATTGCTTACCGCCGGACCCGGAGGTAAGTATAGACGTACCCTTAGTCCTGCCTTGAATTCAGGGTGCTGGACTAGATGACCTTCTGAAGTCCCTTCCAGTCCTACACTTGTATGATTCTACGCCTGCACATTAAAACTGAAGAATATTTTAAAGCATGAATATTTTGCATACATGTGTCACTATTTTTCCCCTTTGCCACAGAAGAAAGAGGTGGGTTGATAATTTGAGATACTTCGGGGCATCTGTTATTGAACAGGCTGCTTATTATTGTATGGACAGCTCAAGAAGTACGTTGATGATTAGTTTAATGTACTTTTTAAAATGTAAAACAAAACAAATAATTTAAATTTGATGAATGCTAATTTTCAAAGAGTAATCCATGTTACAAAGGAATGTAAATTAAATTTTGATTATATTTTAAATTTGCAAAGGGTAGTTGACAATACATAATGCTTTAACCTTAGACTTTGAGTCTACTTACATTTAACCTACTGTTCTTGTATATACCCCACGATGATTCTTTCTGAGTAGGAGATATAGCTCTGTAGTTAAATGAGTAAAACCTCTGCTGGAACTATCGGAAGGAAAAAGGAGACTTGATGCATTTCTTCTGACTCTGCCTTCCCATACAACACTTTTGTGATGAAATCAGGTCCCATCTGAACAAATAAAAAAATCCTAAATAAGCTGCAAAAATCCGTCAAGAAGTTCTCTTTTGTACTGAACCACACTATCCCCCTACAAAGAAGCAAGGAGTCCAATAGCCAAGGTGACCCCACAGAGGAGTTCTCAGACTCAGTTGTAGTTGGATCACATGATCAGATAGACCAAAAAGACATCAATGCTTTGTTGGAGTAGGCAGACTGCTTTTAGAGCAGAGAGAGTAGCCGTTGAAAATGTAGTTTCACAGCTGCGAGGAGCGGCACCAGGAGCCGGCAAACAGGGCTGCTAACAGGGGAGTTTAAGTGGGAGTTTACAGGGGGAGGTGGAAGGGGAGGTAGGAGGGCGCGGCAGGCGC